AATTAAAACTGTGTCAAATATTTTTTCATGACGCAGCCATTATCGAAATCAAGCGAATTCATGGAAATACTTGACTACACCAATATTATTTTTGTTTGCCATGACTACATATTATAAGTTACAGATATTAAAGATGACGTGAAGTTGGCAGTATCATGAAAAACCTGTTACACCATGATTAATGTATTTTTTTTGTAAATTGAATTAATAAACTCAAAATACATTTCTTTTTACAACAAAAAAAGAAATACACATATTTTAGGGGTACATAATTATAATTCGTTTACAAAAAAACACTAAAGCGAGCATTCTGCTTATCAAAAAAAATTATATAATAATTCAAAATCTCAATATTAACAAAGGGAGAAACCACTGGAACGATTTGGTATACAAGCTTGAGTAATATTTGAATAATACTGTGTATTACATATTTGAGTAATACTTTGTTATTCATGTCACACGTACCTATAAAGTGTAATTTTTGAAAATTGCGAAATTTTATTTTACCTTGTTCTGAATGGGAAACAGTCACAAAATACATGCAGTAGATGTTATGGATTTGATATGGGATTTTTAAAATATTTTTTTAATAATCTATTATTCATTTTTTTAATTGCAAATAAAAAAATTCTGGTCAGTAAATAATAAGTAAGAGATTTGAAAAAAATGCTGAATTGAAAAAAAAATTGACAAAATATTGATATAAAAAAAAATACTTTGATTGATCAATAACTGATTTAATAATGAGTTTCTCAAAAATGTCAGAAACTTATACCATTATTTTTATAAATTACCCCTAAATTTTTTTATCATGGTTTCCGAAAACCATATGAAAATTAATATCAACAGGTTTTCTTCTGTCTGAAGCTTTTAAATCATTAATTTTTTGGATTACTAACATCATTTCATATTACTTCATTTTGTTAACTATGCTATAAAAGGCAAATATTAATTACTGACCGATTTAAATTTGATATCTTCCAAAAAAAGACAAAAAAAAAAGGTAGCCTTTTTAATATCTCTTCCTGTCAGCAAAACTTGGACATGGACGTTTGTTAGTAAACTTATGATTTTTTTCTTACTAATTGTTTAATCTTCTGCATACAGCTCGAGGAGGCTTAGTGGACGACGACGCGCTAGCTCAGGCCCTAAAACAAGGACGCATCCGCGCGGCCGCCCTGGATGTACATGAGAACGAACCCTACAATGTGTTCACTGGCCCCCTCAAAGACGCCCCAAACCTCTTGTGTACACCGCACGCGGCCTTCTACAGCGACGCCTCAGCCACTGAACTGCGGGAAATGGCAGCATCGGAGATCAGGAGGGCGATCATGGGCAGGATACCTGAGTGTCTGAGAAATTGCGTCAACAAGGAGTACTTCATGGGGCAGGGCTCATATCCCGAAGGTACAGGTAATATAAGTACTACTAACACTTTACACTAGTAGAGGTAAATTCTTCCTACGATTGGGGCTCATACATCCTGCTGTTGAATACAATTTGATTATCGATTTAGGACAATTTGTAAGTAATCATTTGTACGAAGTTTACGTCACAGTCGAAAAAACTGGGCAAATTGAGGAATTTATGATATTTAAAAAAGGTCGTGTATATCCGGAACTTTTTGCTGCACCTTTTTGAATGTGGTTAACTGCTTGCCAGGTGAATTTTTTTAACAAAAACTTGTAAAAAATAGATCCTATTTTTTTAAAAAGATTTCTAATGTACAGGGTGTTTCAGTTCGAAGGAATCAAACTTTAACCACAAATACTTAGAACTCGATAAATAAATCAGAAATGCCTTATAAAGCAAGGGTCTAAGTCTCACCGTTTTCACTCTACAGGGCCGTATTGGTATTTGGTATGGTGTTAACACTTACACGTGCATAATTTACTGTAAAATNACAACATACATTTTATTACTGTTGCATCGCAGCATAAATCAGCAAAATAAATTTCATCGATATAGCTTGAACGTAAAAATTTCTTTAGATTAATGATTGAAATGAACTGACGATAGAACTCGTTACCTCAATTTCTTTTTTATGCACTAAACTGTCAAACTCTAGTTATTAATTTTTATGGCCACAATTTAACTCCAATCATATATGAACTTAGGAGTATGTAGCATAACTGAAATAGTTTTAATGAAATCTCAAATATAATGACTTAACCAAGACCAGAGCCGTTCCTGAGCAGTGTGCTGGTGGTGCCCCGGCACCAGGGCGGCCAAAATTCAACTTTTCTGACCTGGTCTTCCCCAGATTCCTAACTAAAAATATTTAAACAATAGCAGCAAAGACTGCAAAGATAGAATGTATATTAATTTTCGTCTTATAAATAATGTAGCATTAAATACACTGTTTTAAAATACATTTTTTTTATACACTAATGCAAAAAATTAAAGGGTCAAAAGAATTTCCGAAATTTTTCCGTGATTTTTTTTTAATTTTAGGTGAAAAATGGTCGTATCGGGAATTAAAAAAAAGCATTTTGAAGCTCTAAGATTCTAGTTTTTAGATCTTTTGGTCGAAATTTTTTAGAAGCTACAGCTATCATGCAATTCTAAGAAATTGCGCTACAAAAAAATTTTGCAAATTTTCCTTTTTTTTTCATCAATTTAAACGTTATTTGCCGTAAAAATGTGAAAAAACCTCACGCTCAAAAAACGTGACCCTTTAATTTTCTTCAACATTTTGACTGTTTGAAACAAAGAAAGGGTCGATACATCGAGATGAAAGTTCACAGGGTTCTTCTGGGTATATCGAACTGTAAAAGTCAGGCTTAACTTTAGTCATTTCGTTAATATTTCTAATTTACCCGTCAATTTTCTAAAAAAATCACAAATTACCCCTTTTTTCTTGTTTTTTAGAATTCGTGTAAAAGATGAAAACATTTTTTTTTCTGAAAACTTGCGGCAGCATGTTATAGGAAATTTATTCCAGTTTTCGAAACTGCCCTTCAATTCTCTTTACGACCATTTGTCGCCGAGATATCGATGATGGAAGACAAAAGGATCCTTTTCCATTAAAAGTTCGATATTTCGATGAAAAATGATCGTATCGAAATTTAAAATAAAAGGAAATTGAAGATGAATAA